AGAAGGCTCTTTGCCCTATAGATACTAAGCATTGGATATTATCTGATAAAATAACTAGTTTGCCATATGGTCATTGGCGTATACAAGCATATAAAAATTTTGTATCAAATGGAATATCTCCAGAGTTGGCTGAACAAAGAGCTTTAAGCATTAAGCTCTCAAAGAAATATCAAAATGAATGTGTATCTCATATATCTATTGCGAAGCAATGACTCTTCGAGTCGCTATATATTAAATTTGATGCATTCCATGTAAAGGGTTTAAAATTTTTAGCATTCTATATAAAAAAAATAAAATTTGTTATATGTTTGTATCGGTATACAAAAAAATTTCTATAAATAATAATTCTGGCTTATGCATGTAGGCGAGGACATATTTGCCACATATTACAGATTTGTATAATAAAAAAGTTTTAGCTACATTATATTTTTCTGTTAATATATACAATGATGAAAAATCATAACAATACATATACAAATAAAAAAAGACAAAATTATATCGAAAAGTGGCATATCTTTAGAGGTTGGAAGCATGGATGTAAGGTCTGTGACGAATACAATCACCATTCACATCTGTATTGTAAAACATGCAAAAAAGTAGCGGATGGATTATATAGGTGATGTAGATGCGATAATTCTCAAATAATTAACGATAAATAAAAATAAATGAGCTGCCCCATAGTTATCTCATAATTATCTCCCAATTACCCTAAATTCACTCAATTATATAAAAAATAAAAAATGCTAAGGCCACCTTTATTTCATAATAATTGTTGCTAGAACAACAATATATAGATAAAAAAAAATAATAATTTTTTCCAATTATACATTAATTATTGTCATTGGTCTTGGAGGTATTATTATCGTTGTTCTTGGGGGTGTCATTATTATCATTGTTCTTGGGAGTGTCATTATCATTGTTCTTGGGAGTGTCATTATTATTGGTCTTGGAGGCGTTACTATCACTGGCCCTGGGGGTCTTATTTATCTTGTTCTTGGGGGTAACACTTACTCTGATAGGAGTGATGAGAGAATCCTGCCAAGAATGGTCAGTGGTGGTTTTATTACTACTCATTTTTCGTTCCTAAATACAAAAAACCATAGTAAGTAAAAATTCATCTCCATATTGATTACCATGAAATGGAATGGCAAATTACTTTAAAAATAAATTATGGTCGGATAAAAAAATTATATATGAGCAAAAAAATATTATTATAACCCACCTACAAGAAACAGAAAAATCGCTTATTTTTATACCATCCATTTGCTAGATCTAAAAAAAACTTGCTAGTTACATGATTAGTAATTGTGTTACTCTAATACTGCTAGATTACACTTAACAAAGCAACTCTATTTCGATTGTAAAGCCCAAATACTAAATATATTTTAGCATCTTTTTAGGAACCTAGCTCTTTAAATCGATACTTGCTACTACCAAGTGAAAAAGTTAACGATCTTGGCGATCTGAGAATTTCAAGTTCCTGTAGCATATGAAGTTTAATAATACTACTGATAAAAAACATTATACTCTTTCTTAGTATAGCCCTTTTAAATCCCATGTGTGCCTTTTCTTATCGCAGTATTGTATATAATAAGAAAGAACTTTCTAGATATCTATTATAAATCAAAAATCGAATGTGAGAAAAAAGGCAGGTTGGTAGTACATGACCCCCAGGTCACAATGTCATGTGACTACTATGCTACTTATTGCACTTTGTATAATATAATATATGACCTTACAGATCACATTCATATAAAAAAATATTAATATATAAAGTCGATAACTGTTATTAAAATGGAATTGAGATTGAAAAGATGAATAAAATATTTGCTTATTATTGTAAAGCAATGATGATACAGAGTATCGAGAAAGCTAAGCTTTGAGTCTTTGACTCATCTACAATTTCTATTCAAGTCTATAAATGATCAGCTGATATAGGCAATGTTCGTGGAATACTTCAAGTTGGTATTCTTGATATTTTTTTTTCTAAGAAAATTATAAATTCTAAGAATTCTAAGAATTCTAAAATTACTAAGAATATTTTAATTCTCAGAATCTTTATATTTTATAAAAATGACGAATTTCCATGAATATTATTCAGAACTTCTCAAAAAATTACCTCTTTCTATAAAAAAAAATATATGGAATCGTCTTATATCTAGATTACATAATCCTTTATCAGAAGAACAAGCAAGTAGTATTCATCCTAATATTGAAGTATTGCTAATTAGTGAAGTTGATAAATATGAAAAGAAAAAAAATCGGCAACGTTGTAGACCCAAAGAAGCATTGCTTCACAATAATCTTTCAGACGATACTATCTTTACTAATATCCAAGTAATTAAGACCTCAAGGGACATTGCTTCACAGGCCCAAAGAGGCGACTCTAAAGAGTCATACTCTGAAGAAGAGGTTAATGCTAGAATCAAAGAAGCTACAGATAATTTACGTCAAGAATTTATTAAATCTACTGAAGAAACTTTAAAAACTATTAAGCAACAGAAAGATATAGAATGCAATCAAATTAAGATAGATATGGCTAATTGGAGTACAAAATT